TGAACACATCAACCAATTCGCGGACATGACTGAGAAGGAGATCATCGCTCAGTTCACGGGCTTTCGGATGACACCCGAAGAGAAGAAGCGCATGAATGGGACGGTCAGTGGGGGGCACAAGAAGGGCCGGAAAGGGAGGAAAGGGAAGAAAGGAAAGGGCGGCAAAGACTGGCGATCGGCGGGAGTGATCGGACCCGTCCAGAATCAGGTCAGTATTGTCGGCAATATTCTGTAACCTTATATAAATATTTTTAGTGAATATTATAAAATAGTTTTATTTATTAGTGAATGTTTCAAAATAGTGTACTTTTGTACTAAAAAGTAGTTTTTGTTATCAATTAATATAAAATAAAGTATAGTCAAAAATAGTCTGTTTTCCGGATATTTCCAAAAATAGTGTGTATTTGCCGACAATTGATGCCTTAATAATACACTGCTATCTATGGACTCGACTGTAGGGTGGGTGCGGTTCGTGTACTCTCTTCGCAACGGCAGGTCTCGTGGAGAGCTATTGGGCGCGAAACGGAAACGGAATCAAACCTCTGAGTCCGCAACAGATGCTCGACTGCGCTCTCGACTACGATGTGTGCCAAAGTGGGTCTGCCTTTGAGCCCGTCTTCAACTATGTGAGGGATAAGGGACTCACATCTTGGGACGAATATCCCTACCAAACCCGGGTTTGTCACTAAATATATCTCATAAATGATAAATGTTTAAAGTTGGCAATTAATAAGAATCAAAGTAACCTAAATACTAAAAAGGAAATTAATTATTTGCCTTAACTATAGAAAAATCGGTGCGATAGGGACCGGGAGGGCCGGACTGTGGCCCGAATAAAAGAATGGAGATCGGTGGCGGGCAATGGCGATGAGGGGGCCCTCCAGTTGGCGGTTCAAGACAACGGCCCGTCCACTATAGCCATACACGTGTCGGACTCGTGGGCCAGTTATAAACAGGGCATATTCGACGGCCCCTGCGATGGAGATATGAATCACGCGGTACTTGTGGTGGGCTATGGATATAACAAGGCCTCGGATATGAAGTATTGGATTGTGAAGAACTCGTGGGGCAGCGGTTGGGGAGACGACGGGTTCATCTATATGCGCAAGGATGCCGGCAATAAGTGCCATGTTGCCGACCATTGTGTCCAGGTGTTTTAATGCTATCAAGTTTATTAATTTTAAGGCATATATAGCTATATAAGCTACTCTTGTAATGTTTTAAAAAGTTTTAGTAATAAAGGAAAATATGTTCATTGAATGAAACCTAATTGAATAATAAATGTTTGATTTATTAAATGAGCTTAAATTAGCATAACTAGTATTACTGTCTGTCAAACATAGGCGACAATAATGTTCAGAAACTTTTTTATTTTTTGCAAAGTATGTGGAAATGCAGAGACGAGGCCAGTAATAGCAAAGCTACAGTATATGTCTGCTAAATATTTGCAGTCAATACCAAAATAAAATATTAAATAAATTTGGTTATAATTTGCGTAAATATTATTATTTAATTATTATACTTTAATACCATGTTTATTTTTTAATCATTATGAATATAGTGTATTATTACTTAAACGTGATATAATTGCAAAAAATTACTTAATTAGAAAGTGTTGTTTATTACGATTAATGTATGAAATTGTTTAATAAATTTTGTTAACTATTACTGTTACAGTATCTATGTAATCATTTTAAGTATGCATTTTATTTTGTAGAATTAATATCGGTTTTAAATTTTGCTTGAATAATTAAAAAATTTGATAATGAAAAGAGTAGTTTTTGGTAGTATTACAGGTATTATGTGATATTGTTTTAAAATTGTGAAATGTTATTTAATTATTAATGTATTTCTTTATAGTTATTGGTATTCTACTAATTGCTGGATTAATTGCACTAGCATATTGGCATTTTGGTAATTTATATTACAATATATGAAATTGGTAACTTCCATATTTTTTGATTCAAAACTATAATTTACATTAAATTTACAACTTATGATTAAAAATGCAAATTATTAACCAAGGTGATAAGTACAACCCGTACGCACCGTTTGGCGATTTCTTGCAAGGCAAATTACTAAAATCATCTCGCACCATTGATAAAACATATGATGATTTTAAAGTATACTTTGTTTTCGACTTGTATCTAGAGTTTATGAAAACTATTTTTATTTGAAAGAAATATTTGGACGATAAACAGAATTTAGAGAAAGTTTTCAAAGAATTTAAGTACGAATTCAGCAAATCGTATGAATCAAGCGAAGTGGACCGTCAGAAAGAACAGATATTCCGGGACAACATGTTGCGAGTGTACGGACATAACTTGAAAGCTCTGAACGGCAAGTATTCGTATACATTACGGGTCGGTGTGGACGCGGATTTGACTCATGACGAGTTTAGAAAGACACACATCCATTGCCAGTTCGTACTGAACCGACCCATTTCTTACTCTAAGTCTAACTCGGCTTCTGCTGACTCCCACACCGACGATAAGAGCTGGTCATTCGATTGGCGCGATCAAGGAGTAATTGGACCTGTGCAGCATCAGGTACAATTTTACATATTGCATATTTACATTGGAAAGTGTTGTAGGTGATATTTTATTTTGAATTTTACAATATATTAAAAACAATGTTATATGCTCATTATGCGGTAAACAATTGGATGACCATA